TGACATGTTCAAAGCCCAGAAAAGATGGGAGGAGGGAGGAAAATTCTCTCCAGAAGCAATGGGAGGCTGAACGGCCAGGAGAGAAGAAACATGGGAGTGAGGTGGGAGACGTTTTTAAGAAGAAAGGAACGGCTGATTTCATGGACCAGCAATGATGTAAATCAGGAAGATGGCAGACTACAGTGGTTCTGGCTTTGTCTAAGAAAAGACTGGTAAAAGCTGAGACACAACTAGTTTTGATGGAATGTCAAAAGGTAAAGTCAAACGCGGAGAGGGCCTGTGCTAGAAAGAGGGAGGGACTCCAGGCAATTTTACAGACGGTGGATTCAGTGAGCTTGGAGCTGAAGGGAGGAATGACAGCAGCAGAAGCCAGCAGGATGGTTATATTTCATTTACTTTATGGTAAGTGAGGCGACGGCATCTTTATACCAGGGAGAATAGTCAGGGGAAAAGGAATGGACAGGTCAGGAGATTGGATAATGTGGGGTCACCAAAATAAGTCGAGGGCTAGAAGAAAGCCAGAAATCCAAATCTTTAGTCCCTGAAAATGGAAGGAAGTTGGAGAGGTAAGATGAAAGCCATGTTTTGCCTTTCTTTCTCTCAAAAAGGAATTGGCAAGATCCTATGTGGAAAGAGAAGTCAAAATAAGAAAAGGGGAGGGTAGAGTGAAAGCTATATAATTATAATGGGCTGCCAAGTGGCTGTTTTCCTAATTTTCCTCTGCAGTAGTTCCTTATAATCTCACCTCACGTCGGGCTGTGGATTGTACATTCACACTCTCCTGTACTGGCCTGTGTCCTGAAGAACCTGCAAACAGAGTATCTTAAAAACACAGAGCCCTCACTGAAGTCAGTCTGCTGCTGAAATCAAGTGATCCGCACCATTGTTCAGCTGTAATTAAACTGGAGGCACATTATTTGCTCAAACGCTACTGTTTAATTTATCTGTTTGCTCCAGAAGGTGTTTTCCATTTTCCTATCGTTCTCCTGTGAACAGACAATGCCTAACCAATTTCCAGGAAGCAGTCTTTTTTTTAATTATTTTTTAAAGTGAAAGGCAGATGCCGAGAAGAACAAATTAGTTAAAGTGTAAAGGTTTCCACAATACCTCTGAGAGCCATTCCAGCCCGGTGCCTTGGGACTGTTAAAACCTCTCTCTAAACAAAGGCTGCTGTGAGTGTAAATCTCATTAACATACAACAGTCCTGCTTGACCTGCCTTTGCTCTTTGGTGAAGTGATTGAAATGTAGACAAGCTCCAGCAGTATCAGTAAATTTACATTAGTCTGACAGGCCAGAATCTGAACCACTGAAAGAGTTTTGGAAAGGAAATTTCACACTACTATACTGTCAGTCTGTACTGACTGAAACCATGCTGAGCCAACCGTTCGGTTTTCAAAAGCTTTAAGAATTGAGACACAAGTTTGAGCACATGTCCACTTCTGAGAAAGGACTGTGGATGCTAGGAGAGGGCCCTGATCAGGACTTCATTGAAGCAGACATTCTTTTATGAGACTTTTAGCTGTACTTTAGACCCAAGTCCTAGCCCTGGAGCAGATCTAGCAATTACTTTTTTACCTAGGGTGGATTTCATCATTCCATTTTTGCCTAACATGGTAAATAACGAGCCTTCACAAGGTTTGTTAGGAGCTATAAAATACCCCTTCCAACTGCCACTTGAGTCTTCGCAGAACCCCAGAACTGGTGGTAGCCCACATGAAACAAATGCCCTTTCCTTGCAGTACAGAAATTCCTATATATTTAGGCAGCATTAAAGAGTCTTCCTGGATGAAACTACTGAAATGGGGACATTAAGCAGCAAATACTCTCCACCAGGGAGACTCATCTATCATATTTGCAATCCCGTCTTGCACAACCCACCCAACAGAAGGGGAAGTTACAGCCATTTTTTGCCACTACTGCGTAAACTCTGCCTGAAACCAACAAGCCATTTGTATCAGCCTCTCAAAACCAACATCCTAATGATCCCTCTGCACAACAGACAGACAGACAGGGTTCTTCTGATCCCTCTGCACAATGGGACAGACAGACAGGGCTCTTCTGCTGGAAGGGGGAATGAGGCAAGCCATGCAGATGGCATGTAAAAATTATTAGGGAGGTAAGGAGATAACATCATGCTTATTTAGGGGGTTAGCATCAAAGGAAATAGAGGCCCCAGAAAAAGACAGTCCTCCTTCTCCCATTTATTTGAAAACCAGACAACAATCCTTTGGGATTGACTGTTGTGACTGGTTACACAGAGCAGGAGAGATTACCTAGTTAGACCTCTCAGCAGTTATCAGCTATGTTGCTAAGACTCAAAGACCAAAATCAGAGAGGGGGGGGAGACAACATGCCATCCCTCCCATGCCTTATCACCACTCTGCAGGTCAAGCTGGAAGCAAAAACTAGCCTCACAGGGTGATGTGATGAAGACACGAGATTGTCCTGGGGAGACAGCCTGTGATCACTACAAAGTTGGCATTGCTATTCCTCTAGCAAGTTCCCCCTGAAAAAGAATGAGCAACATCTCTTTTTGAGGATGATTTGCATATCTCAGTGCTGGGGAATGGCATCCTATTAACAGCCCTGAATCACAGCCTTGCTCTCAGAGGCAAGCACACAACCACTAATGGGTCTAACTCTCAACGAACCCCCTGAGGCAAGCAAACACTACCTCCCTGACACCAATCGGGAAGGACAACAGCTTTCCTGAAAGTCTCAGAGATGGTCTGGTCGACCTAATTTTTGTATCACATTAAAAAGTCTTTTCAGGAGCATCATTACATACCAAGTGGCTTTTTGCAACAAGTCAGTAAGTGCAACTTTGGAACCAGGGAGAATACCTGGACGTGGAAAATCACATCAGATGTTTCTACTCCCTGAGCACAGACAGCTTTGAAATTAGGACTCCTGTGTGAATATAATCTGATGTTATTTGTTAGAGGAAAAAAAAGGGCCATTTCTGTCAATGTTCCTCTCTGTGCAGCTTTCTGCTCAAACTCCCCAAGTTAAAGTGAATGCAATACAAACCAGCTCTCATTTGCTATGTGCTTCTTTGATACCCATCCTCAGGTCGGTGAATACCACATTGTCCACACTGCATCCTCCCTCCAACATCCCAGCGGTTTTGGGAAGTGCTCTTATTTCTATGCGCTGTTTTTACCTAGAGGTCTAGGAAGAATCCATTTGCTTCAGTGACAGACAGCACCTAAAAACCACTGGAGATCTGCGTTTGAAAAATGGAGAGCATTTCCACATCAGTGGCTGCCAATGAGACTGAACCCACATGGCCTCTTAAGCCTCAAGCATAAGGGATCTTGCTCCCAACAGCCAAGCTAACAAGAGAAACACTGACTTGTTTTCTGATGCGGTCTAACCCCATGAGCATGGCACTGCCTTCAGAGTCACAAGCTCTGCCAGGGAACTCTGCGATCCTCAGTGTCCTTTCCTGTAAGCTGCATTTTGTGTTTAGACTTGTGCTGATCACACAGGAAGACTCTGACAGAGCAAGAAACTTAACCTGCCACTCCCATGGACCAGCCTAGCTTTTAGACAACCCTCCCCCTTGATAGCCACTTCAAAATGCATGAGGGTTGGTGAATATTCATCTGTAGCATTTGTGGTAATTTGCATTCTGTTTGCAGGGAAAGCTGGTATCCACCCTCTTCACAGGGCTGACAGAAGGGACAGGCTCAGGTACAAAGGCTCACTTACACACTCACAGTTTAGGGGAAAACCCAAAGCTTCAGTGGAAGTGAAATAATAGGTAGGCCATGTGCTGGCTCTCTGCCCTCAGAATGTAAGATTTGTTTTGCTCATGCTGGTGAATGGAAGCCACGTTTTACTAGACTTAGGTTTAATAGGATTCAATAAATATGCAAATTTCCAAAACAATTAAATATACATGCCATGATGGAGTTGCATCCAAGTATCCTTTCTAATTAAAAAATCCCTCCTTGTCTCTGGCAGTCCTCTAACCAGTGGGCTGGGCAGGCTCCTAACAGAACTGATGTACAAAGTAGACACACGCGAAATGGTAGGAATGGGTTTTGTGGACTGGCTGAGGGATTTTCTTACACGGGTACCAGTTCTGTACTTCATGTTTGGCTTAACTAAGGGTACTTCCTCCCTCTACTCTCTGATGAAAGGCAGACTCACATATTCAACAGTTTCCAAAGGGCAGTAACGCCTGCTCGTAAAAAGCTACTGTCACCTTTGATCCAAGGACACATTTGTGCTGATTGGATTGTCAAAAAAATATTTTAAGATCGTGTCTGTTAAAATATGGGTCACCCTTTGTATTATGGGTACATTTATATTTGATTTATGGGGTTAATAAATTATTAATAGATGTTGCGGGCATAAGTAGTCCACATTATAGATGGCTATAAGCAACCCATTAACCTGTTGGACTTCAGCAGTCTGTAGGAATTAACCATTTATTGAAACTGTTGTAATACAAATGAGCCATTTCACTACTATGCCTTTAACATATGACTGAATATTGCTCCTCAAGGGAAAGGGTATTTCTCACGGCAGGTACGGCTGGGGAAGGAGAAAGACAACTCCTGGCTACTAACTCCCAGATTCTTTGGATCCTTTCCACTGCCCTGGGCCACTAATTCAAACTGCAGTGCCTTAACTTACTCATATTTAAACTGGAGATGACTGGCTTGCCTCACAGGTGGCTAGCAGAGATTGCCCTTTGTTCTGTATTTTGAGACGCGATATATCCTTGCAAAGGACCATTAACCTGAACGTATTTTTTGCTTGCCCACAGTGTTTTTTTCAATTCCCATTAGTTTACACAGTGAAATTCTCTCTCAGAAATGCTTCTTTCTTAGCCCTCCATTTGATAGAAAGTGCTTTACATGCTCATAGTCAACAGTAAATCACAGCCACAAGATATCTTTAGCCAAAGGGGCTACTGAAGCAGTAGCTTGAATTTGGCTGTATGATCAAGAAGCCACCATCTTTTTCCCCCACTTTTGTTACTCACTTCTGGCATGATTTCGATCTTCTCGTAGCGCCGCTTGTACGGAAGCGTCAGCACCTCTGCTCTGCGGTAGGACATTGGCGGAGGCTGGCAGTCTATCATCAGATCTGTGCGATGAGACTGGGTGGGTGGTGGCTGAGTGTACTGCTCCGGGCAAACTACGTGGAGGGGCTGGAAAAGAAGAGTGGTGACTTACAAAAATGTTTGGTTTATTCTGTGCGCTGCCCTACATCAGTAATCATTGCCATAAGGAGGTTTGCAGACTGTTGTTAGCACGCTAATTTATTTGTATGAAAACAACATCCAAAAGATGCAATCCAGAAGATCCAGTCAGCATTGGAACAAATTGTTCAAGAAGCAGGCAGTCTTTGCTTTGTATACAACAGTGTTGAGAGTAACAAGGCCTAAATTTGTGTCTTTAATCCCCACTTCAAAATGAGCAGTCATGTTAGCTGCCATAAGGAGAGAAAAAAGAAGGGTATTCAATAGCTTTTTCTTCCAAATCCTTGTCATCGAAATTGGAAGCAAATGACAGTAGCGGTGGAGACCATCACAAAATGGCACAGAGTGAGGCAGATGTATCAACATGCAAGGCTGCAAAAACATTAGCAAAATAAGCAACTCTGAGTTTTCATGGCCTGTCAGCAATATATTAACAAAGCATAAACAGGCTGGTTGCCACGAGGATCACTGCGGGATTTAAGGAAGCCAAAGGAGAAGACAATGTTTCTGCAAATTGTTTGGGAAACAGCGTTATACTTCATGGAATATACATGGAAGAAGATGCTTGTCAGAAAAACAGGCAATGGCAATTGCTATCAGGTGTGCAGTGACAAGCCAGGCCACAGAACAATGAGATAAAATGATCCAGACATTGTGAAGAGGCTTCGAAGAATATGTGGGTTTGTGTTCAACAAGTTCAACGTAGAACAAAGGGAAAAGCTCAGCCAGGAAAACTGGGAATTATTTTAACTATGTCATGAGTCAGAAAGCAGACTTCAGTAGAAACAAATCGGATGGACAAGGAGAGGCCACTAAAGCCAAAAAGAGTCAAGGGAGAAAAGCAGAGACTACGTGAACACTCTGGCCTTCTTCCTAGACAGCAGTCATCTAGATTTTGCAAATGGAGTAAGGAAAGCGGTGGGTTTGGAAGAAACGTGAGAGTGAAACTCCAGAACAGCAGTGCCAGGACCAAAGCAAGTATCAACTGCAAGATAAAGAGCAGAGGTGATGGTTAAGGCTGAGGGTGCTGAGGATACTCAGCACTTGGTATCCTTTACACTAAGACTGCATTAGACACAGCCAGGCTTATTCATACAAACAAGAAAAAGAATAAGGAAAAAATTTATCATGACTATGTATACCTAAAAAGGAGGAAAGGAATCTACACACCATTTGCTCTGTGCTTTAAGCTTTTAGGGATCTTCTAGCCACTCTGTGCAGAGATGGGCAGTCATGCCCTGTTCATTTTGGAGCAGGATGATAAAGGAGAGCTCAATGCTCTCTCAGGGAAAAAAAGGATCTGGGTGTTGTCTTGATTTTGCTATTGTTTAACGTAACAGCTGTTCACAATTGACCTATTTCATTCAGGTGTGTGAAGAAACATAAGAAAAGGCAAGAGAAAATTAATTACCTGGACTTCTTTGAGTAATTTAGACACCTGAATAAAATTCAGTCTTGTGTCAATGGGACAATAAACACATTTCATCGCCAAAGGTTGATAAGGAGCCAGGGCATCCAGATAAGAGAAATCCGGTTCTGAAAAGAGAAATGTTGAAAACACTGAATGCCTATTAAGAACAAAGATGGCCCAATTCCTCTCTGATTCCCCATTCTAGTCTAGACAAGCTGTTGTTCAGCAATGTTAATTCTGTTACAGATTTCTCTTCCCTTCTTCCTTCCCCCACCCGTTATTTTCAGTTAATGTGATGAAAATTATGCTCACAATTAGTCTTACCTTAATCAAGCAACAGAGCAATACTATTTCATTTGAACACATTATTGCATGATTTTTATAACAAATTTAATCAAGACAAAAACATCACCTCTTATTTTTAATCAAATCCTGTAAAAGAAGGCAAGATGTGTACATTTTGGGTATCGTAAGGTAACCCAAATGTCAGCTTGTTTTTCCCTGTGACAAAAATGCAGCATAAAGATCGTATCTTGATAAACGTGATCCAATGTCCTCTGCTGCGGACACATTGCCTCCCAACTCCTCTTTTTCGTTACAGTACACGTATGTATTTTTTTTAATCTAAGTGCCAGGTTTAGATTGCTGGAAAAACAAGGGTCCAAGTTTTAATATAACCCAAGAGGACCTGTAGGGAGCCCTCCAGGCGAAGGGACAGGCAATTGGGCTTTTTACAGTTACGCCAGCAGAGCAGTTCTAGTTCAGGCCAGTATGAACTGAAGGTTGCTTGCGGTAGGGGCTATCCAGAAGGAGAGACGGGCTGTGATAACTTTATTAGTTGGTATCTTTATTAGACCTAGCGAGTCTCAACTTCCCTTTGTACTCTTATTATTGACTTTTAAAAATCAGATTAGAGGTTTGCCAGGGAAAAGTCAGGCACCGAATGGGCTTTTACTCACACAGAGAGTAATAAAACACTGAGAATGCTACAGAAAAGTACTATTTTTTTGGTGAATGAAAAACGTAGGTCTCATAGGTGACACAGTGTAGGATACATGCAGCCACTTGATTCTGGGGGCCGCCAACTAATGATGTGGAAAAGCTTATGCCATCACTATCTACCTGATAATTGTGGGATAGATCGCATAAAGGGAATGCTAGAGAAACTGGTATTAGTTTGGTAAGTACAGAATGAGAAAAAGAGAAGGGGATGCATGAAAGACTTATCTGCTAGGCTATTCGGAACCACAGGGCCTCAAAGGACAACCTGCAGAGTGAAGCGCAGTTGCAAATCACCAAACCTTGCTAGAAAACAGCACGAGGTATTCCTCTGGTAACTGCTCAGGCTGTGTAGAAGGATGAACTTAAAGGAAACTTAAATACAGAGACTTCAGTCTAGACTTAGACAGCCATCTTCTGTGTTCTGCATCACCCTGAGGAGAGCACTGGCTGGATTTCTCATGTAGACAGCAAGAAAAAAATGTCCTTAAAACTTTACCACAGGAAGTTCAGCACCCAGCATGGCATCCAACATTCAATATTGGGCCTCATTCTACTGATAAAGACAAGTTAATTGCTAGCCTAAAAATCTGCCGCTGGCTAAGTACCAGTGATCATGATGTGGTTATATTTACCCTGTGAGAACAGAACATGGCATCAGCCACTGATACATACGTTTGGAACTGTCAAAGGGATAATTTTCCCAAGTTTAAAGCAATTGTCAGAATAACTGCCTGGGAACATCAAAGTGGGAAATATTAACAAAAAATGATAGTTGTACAAGAACATCTTACTAGATGTCCAAAAAGCCATGAATCCACAAACATGGAATAAAAATTATACTGGGCAAAAAGCCATGCTAGTTAAAAGCAGATGTGTTAGCGGCAATGAAACAAAGCCTAAAAATATCAATGTAAAAAATGGGAGTTAATGGCAGTTAAGTTTAATAGCAACGAATAGAAGTTTAAAAATAAGAACACTGAGCGGGTAGCTAGTTGAAGAATGATCAGTGGTCAATTAGGGTTAAATCAGAAGACATTTTAAAACTCTTTGGGGATAACCAGAAAACTTCAGTCAGGCACAGGTCCTCTGCTAGAGGTGTACAATGAAATCGCAAATAGTAAGTTTAAAAAGTTATCGGAATAGAGCTTTTCCATCCCATCTGGCGTTGTGGATGACACAGAGATTTGACTGCTTGTATCTGAGAATGCCATGAGGCAGCACCTATTCAGACTAAGTATTTTTGAATCAGTAGGCTCAGATAATCCACAAACATGGATTTTTTGATCTAAGACTCCAAAATGGCATCTGGTCTCTAGTCTCCCTGAAGAACTAATAAGAAGGTAAGTAGCCTTGGAAAAGCGAGACATTCTAATGAAGGAATTCTAACAGAGGACTCTGAGGATTTAGACATGTGAAAACCATAACTTGAGCTAGTCTCACGGTGAACTCCTGTGACGTACAGGAATAGCTGTTTTGAAACTACCAAAACACCAGAAGTCACCTGTCTGATGGAAGACAGTGCCTGTCAAGGACACGTATTGACTTTTTCTGCCAGAATTACAGGTCTTTAGCTTTTCTGCTAAGACATCTGATTTACTACTGTGTGACAATGAGTTATAAAATCTTCCACTGTACAGCACTCATTTGGCATGCATGAGCTCTTTTTAAGATCTCCTCGGGAGTTAGTTTTTAAAGCATTGTTGTTATCGGAGAGAGAGGAAGAAGCAGACTTCTTTCTACCATGTTTTCTTCTACAATTTCTTTGTGGCTTAGTGGTATTCAATATTTTTAATCAATAATCTATTCAATACTGCTTCAGCAGTAACATTTGCAGATGACACTGAGCACTACAGCTCGCTCACAGCTGGTGTCCTGCCTATTGGCTGCAGCTGCTGCGTTAGTCTATATTCTCTCATAGTTGTTTTTTACATTAAAAATTGGAAAGGTGGAGACTACCTAGCTCCTGTGGACTGAACAAGCAGTGTCATCATTAACAATACTGCATGGCCTGTAGTTTAAAGGTCCTAATTACTAGAAACTAGGAGTCTTTCACAGGAAAAGCTAGAACATCATCTACTATCACACACTGCTTCGATGGACCACATATTTTCATGACTACAGGAGATTTTATCTTAAAACAGCAGCTAGACAATTAAATAATAAAAATCCTGGGCATCAATGGAGGTGCTTCAGCTTCCACTGGAGTTACTAAGAACAGAGGAATTTAATCTGCTAGGAATTTCTGTAGACATAGATGTCTCTGTTCCAGCTGAGTCATAAGGAAGTAGGAACACCCCGCCGAGTGGGTATGCCTACAGACAGAGACAGAAACGGCAGTCCAAAAGCCACGGATAGATAAATTTAGGAAACAAACCACCACAAGTGCCTGGAAACACTGTGCACTCCAAGGTCACCACCACCAAAGCAGATCTCAGCTGGAGTTTCATTTAAAGTATAAACTGGGAATGAATCTCGAAGATGATGACCCAATGTACCCACAGGTTGTTAGGGCCGCCATTCAGATGCCTTAACAACTTGCCAGGGCCACGATCTTAAAGAAGTCTGCTCTTTTTCCTCCCTTCACGGAAGGATTACATTTTAATACTGAAAGGTCAATTACCTCTCCCTACAAGAAGGCACAGAGTAAGAGTTCTTGCCATTAAAGGCCAGTTTCTGACACCCTCGCTGATGGTGGGTAGCACATTCAGAACATGATTAATGCCACCGGTTTCCTCTGCACAACCCAGCAGAGGGTGTACACACTCTGCTTTTAATTGAAGTCCCAACTGGAGTAGAATTCACTATTTCCAAGATAACGCATATCTATATTGCATTTTTTACCAATTGCTGTAATTAGGGCATATCTCCTGAAACTACCTCAAAGGGCAGGAGAGATGGGTACGGTAACAGCTATGACGTTAGTGCTGCGGTACCACGAACCATTTCCCAGCACAAACACAGTCTGGATTTAAGTGTCTTACCTGCTCAGCA